GGATTTGAATTGCTTGATTATTGAAAAATAAAAGTGACTAATCTCTACAGTGGCCAATGATTGTGACTGCGTTGCCAGTGAGAAACCCAGCACACATGTGCCACAAAAGGTTTTCAAAGTCGCTCCTCTTCTCATGATCAATTATTGAGAAGATTCTATTATTTAAAGGTCTCATGTTAATCAAATTAACTGTATTAATTTCACTCTATAGATACAGTCTCATCCTACTTATTTTTATATAAAGTAGGACCGCACTGGTGATATCCTGTGCCGTCTAAACGACCACATATTGCAGTAAACTAAAAGGAGCAAATGGATACATTATTCTCCATCATCTTATCTGGGGCCACAGAAAGTAAGATGAAGACGCAAGAGCCAAACAACACAGGGGTAAAGACTCAAGCTCCTCAGCTGACTTACACATTTACCTACATGGAGTCACCAGCCACAAAGCTGAGACCACGGAGAAACACGAAGCAAATCAAACGTAGACTTGATCAGCTCAGCGGTGATGATGGCAGCAGAAGTTTTAAATGTGTGCAGTGTTTTCGTTTATTTGTTTATTTTTAAAATTGTGGTAAAATAGACATTACATAAAATGTACTGTTTTAAATATTTTAAAGTATACAATGAGAGTCATTAAGTACATTCACAGCCTGCATCCGTCGGTTCTCTCTAGTTCCACAACTTTTTCATCTCCCCAAAGGGAAACTCTGTTCCCATTAATTCACTTCCCATTTCCCCTTTTCCCAGCCCTGGTAGCCACAGATCTGTGTTCTGTCTCTATGGATTTACCTGTTCTGGATATTTCCTGTAACTGGGTCTACAATGTTTTTACCAGTGTTTTTCAAAGTGTAGTTCTCACCACCAGCCTGGGAATCTCACCTGAAAAACATGTTAAAATAAAATTTCCTTTATCTCAGTCTAGGTCTGCAGAATCAGAATTAGGGATGTGGTGGCCTCTAGGAATCTGAGATTTGACATACTCCCCAGGTGATCCTAATGCCCACTAAAGTGTGAGAAAATCTGAAATAGCTAGTCCTCTCCATCTTCTATTAACCTTGACACCATGGATGGCCGCTTTCCTGTGGGCTCAGCTGACCAACTTGACAAATGAATTTACGATTGGGAATTAATCACTGAGGTTGACTCAATGTGTAACTTTTCCCAAGAGAATGGCAGTATGAATTGAGACATCTTCAAATACAGTTTCAGACTGAAAGCTTTAGTTTTTCAGAGGTTAAAGGCCCCATGATGTCACCTTAGGACTGACCCGCCTCTTCCCCAAACCCTGCACCTGGAGGTCTGAGCCACCTTGGGGAATGGACAGACCCACTCCTATCCCCAGGGCAATCTGACTTGCTCTCCAGCTCTACATTTTGTGGGTGTAGGAGCAGTGGGGGGAGCTTGAATATTTGGGCTCTGAATAATAATTGGTTTCAAATTTGTTTGAAAACAAAAAGTCACTGCCTTAACCCAAATCAATGAACTCCTATTAGTCAGATTTCTGGCACTGTTATAGACCAGTGCGGGAGTCATTATACCATTGGGGTGACAGATAGGGCTGAGTCTAAGACTACTCTAGGGAACTTTGGGGACTGTAGCACATGCCGTAAGTTTCAGGGGTACCCACAGGTAATGCATCTCTAAGTCAAGTCCATTCGGTAAGTCTGGTCCCTAACTCCTGAGCTCAAGTGATCCTCCCGCCTCAGCCTCCCAAGTAACTGAGACTGCAGTCACACACCACCACACTTAATTTAAAAAAAAATTTTTTTTAGAGACATGGTTTCACTATGTTGGTGGTCTCAAACTCCCAGGCTCAAGCAATACCCCTGCCTCAGCCTTGAATTACTGGAATTACAGGCATGTACCACTGTGCCCAGTTCCTCTTGCCCATTTCTGATTTTTTTTCTGTGATCCCCTTGCTCATTTTAAAAACATTTTTGGCTTTAGGTTTTTAGCCTGGTTTTATCTTCTTGCTCTACCTACCCTGTCCCTCTACCTACCCTGTTATCTTCTTGGTTTCTTCATCCCCAAATTTATCTCTGGCTGAGATTTCTCTCCTGAGGTTCAGGCCAACATACACAACTGCCAAGACATATCCACATGGGGGCTGGCAATAAAGAGATGTATGTAAAAGACACAAGGAATAATTGTCCCACACTTAGTGAAGGAGAAGGAAAAAAAAGGGAAAGAAAAACATCAAACATTTCTCTGATGTTTCAAGCCCCAGCACCACCAATTCTAGAGAAAACCCAAGACAGAAACAAGAAGGAATATAAATTTCGTTTCAGCCATAGTGAATTTTATGTGAAGGTGAGCCTCGAAGGCAAAATTTTTCAGAACTCTTTTAGAGCGTGTTTCCAAGATTCAGGACAGATAGCAAGACACTAAAGAAAGAACCAAAAAGATGGCATTCCTAACCAACGATTTGCCCTAGGTGTTCTGTTCTGTATACTATTATCCTTACATCCCTAGAAAAACACAGCCAAATTCTTTCTTAGGTTTCAGACATACCTGACTGCCCTTTTCCTTGTGGGTCCATCTTCTAGTATTAATTATTTTTACCATATTCCAAAGATATGATCAGCTAGCTCATAAAAGGAATATCTATAGCAATATTCTTAAGACCTAAGGTTTGGGATGACCTGCAAGCAAGCCCAGTGTGTAGGAAGGAATTGAAATGAAGAAATTCCCTGGAGGCATGATGGAGAAGCCGCCACATGTTGCTGTCAGTAACATGCCTACAGCAGGCAGCCCCAGGGACAGACAACAGGTGAGTGCAAACACCAGATTCAGACCATAGACTTTTCTCCATCCTGTTGATGTTCCTTCACCATCCGTAGTGAAGAGAAGAGAAATGCTGCTTGCAGAACTCACATTCTCTGAACAGGTGACTCACGAGCACTGTGACTCAAAGCGTATGTAGGACTGCTTGGGTCCAAGTGTAACAGGCATCCGTGGCTGCTAGTAGAAACAGAAGTCACACAGCATTGCCACTTCCACCCCCAGCTCCATTGCCCCTGGCTGAGCTGAGGTTCCAAAATAACCCCCACCCTCTCCAGGTACTGCTTCTCCTTGCCTCCATTGATACGCACAGGAGCTTTGGTATGCCGTCAAGGGAGAATTTATTTTTTTTTTAATTTTTTGTTAGAGATAGGGAATCACTATGCTGCCCAGGCTGGACTCAAACTCCTGGGCCTAAGGGATCCCCCTGCCTCAGCCTCCCAAGTGGCTAGGACTACAGGCACATGTTCACACAGTTGCAGTGTTTATATACAAAAATTTTCTAAGATATGTTATTGCATCAGTTTTATAAAGACCTATTAGTTTTTTATAAGACTCCCTCATTTTTATAACTGTCAATGTTTTAGTTTATAATATGGGCAATTGAAACTGCAAAAGCCCTTTTATTTAGCTGACCATAAAGCCTCTTAGTTTGGATTCCCTGGGTTTCGATTCCATGGCCCGTAGTCATTTTATTCAACAGGTTCTTCTTGAGGGCATGGGGTGGAAAGTTCTGCATCTGCCTGGGGAGGTCAAGGTGAGAATGACAGATAAGGAGCTGAAGAGAGAAAGCAGCAATACAAAATCACGGGCATTCCCAGAGTATTTGACATTTCATGCACGTAAATATATTTTCCTTCACATACATTAAAAGAAAAGGCCAGGCCGGGCACAGTGGCTCACGGCTGTAATACCAGCAGTTTGAAAGGCCAAGTCAGGTGGATCAGGAGTTTGAGACCAGCCTGGCCAACATGGTGAAACCTCTTCTCTACTAAAAATACAAAAAATTAGCTAGGTGTGGTGGCATGCGCCTTTAATCCCAGCTACTTGGAAAGCTGAGGTAGGAGAATTGCTTGAACCCGGGAGGCACAGGTTGCAGTGAGCTGAGATCACGTCACTGCACTCCAGCCTAGGTGACAGAGCAAGACTCCATCTCCAAAAAAAAAAAAGAAAAAAAAAAAGAAAAGGCCAATGGGCATGTGAAACATTTTATTTGTTTATTGATAGAACCTAAGTCCACGTGAGCAGGGAGTTTGTCTCACTGTAGTCACAGCCCCAGAACCAGGCTTGGTGTGTTAGATGTTTATAAATATATGTTGAGTGAATAAATGAAATAATTTGCTAACATTTAACTTCTTGCGTATCTTGGAGATATTAAAGCTACCTTAAACAGAAATTCCTTGCTTCACAATTTGCAATCGAAAAAATGTGGAAGCAACATGAATGTCCATCAATCAACGAACGGATAAAGTAACTATGGTGTATATATATGATGGAATACTACTCAGCCATAAAAAGGAATGAATTAATGGCATTCGCAGCAACCTGGATGGGATTGGAGACTATTATTCTAAGTGAAGTAACTCAGGAATGGAAAACCAAGCATCGTACGTTCTCACTTAAAGGGGAAGCTAAGCTATGAGGGTGCAAAGGCCTAAGAATGACACAATGGACTTTGGGAGTTCAGGGGGAAAGGGTGGGAAGGGGGTGAGGGATAAAAGACTACAAATCAGGTTCAGTGTATATTGTTCGGGTGATGGGTGCAGCGAAATCTCACAAATCACCACTGAAGAACTTACTAATGTAACCAAATACCACCTGTTCCCCAAAAACCTATGCGGAAAAAAAAATGTCCTAGCTTCAGGTTTTCCATTTGCAAGAGTGTTTTGTAAAATTGGCTTTGGGAAGTGCATCAATTCTTTTCTGACACCAGGGGGCGACAGAGTGCATCCAGGAATCAAGTTTTTAAAGCGTTATTTTTCAGAGTGGTTAGTACTTCAGCTGATACTCTTAGATGTGAATAACTGTGACTAAGTCAAATCAGCACTGCAGGATGAGGTTTAAAACTGTATCAGCATATCTTAAGCTTAACACAAGGTAAGCATGTATCCAAGTTAAAAATAACATCCATAAATACAGCCTGACAATGTGTTTAAAAATAAAGTATTATACAAATGGGTTGCAAATGACGTTTGAGTCTTTCCTCATTTTACGATCACTTTTTGATGCCCAACCAGATGCCATATGTGATCCAACAGCCAAAGGCTATTAGCACGGGAAAAGATCTGATAAAAGTCTATGATTTTGTCCGTGTAGTTGACACTGCCGTTTTAACATCAAGGGGGAAATGCAAAGCTTCTAGTTCTGATGCATAGACAGTGACTAAATATATTCCATCATGGCTGAGTGTCAGGGGCTGGCTCAGTACAATCAAGCATGTGAGTAGCTCTTTTGTGCTGGGAACCTGTTGGGCAGCATTACTTAACATAGGAGTGCCTATGGGATGGGAGGTCTGGTGATATATGATTAAGGAGGGCATCCTAGGGGCTGGAAGGGAGGAATTTCCCTTTACAACATTATATTTAATGAGAACAAACTTAATATTAGTCTGGTAGACATTGCCAATTATGTGGGAAATTAATGTATTCTTTTATTCCTATCTTCAGTTTGCAGTTCCTGAGGTCCTGAGGTTTGGCCATATAAGAACATCCAGGTAGATTCAGGTCTCTCGGCAACTCCAGACCCCCTGTTCCAGGAGTCCTGATTGAAAGAGCTTGCTGCAAGAGTCAGTAGCCAGCAGCTAAATTGTCTCACCTCCTTTTCTTTTCTTTCCTGGTCTCTGGGTGGAAGTTCCAATTAGGACTCAAACAGCCCCCAAAGCCGGCAGCTGAAGAGGAAAGGGGGAATATGGTGGTGCATCAGTGCCATCTAACTTGGTCTTAAACAGTAGGAAATTAGCTGCTTGTCATTAAAATAAACTAATGCCAGCTGTTTCCGTGGCTGCACACTGCAGGGGACATGAAAGGGGACTGGTGAAGTCCCCACAGTTTCTGGGGGTTAGAATGGGCCGCTCTTCTCCCCTCCAGATTCCGGCCACACTGTTAGTCAGCTGTGGATCCTCTCCTCCCTTGCCTAAGTTAGAGGAGACAAAGGTGAGTGTGAGCTGAGTGCTTCAGTGTCGAGGCTGTGCGGGCGACCATGTGATAGGGCAGCATGGGGTTGGTGTTACTTTTTAAAACTGTTTCCAGGCCAGGCGCAGTGGCTCACACCTATCATCCCAGCACTTTGGGAGGCCAAGGCAGGCGGATCACCTGAGGTCAGGAGTTCAAGACCATCCTGGCCAACATGGCGAAACCCTGTCTCTACTAAAAATGCAAAAATTAGCTGGGCATGTTGACTGGCACCTGTAATCTCAGCTACTAGGGAGGCCGAGGCAGGAGAATCACCTGAATCCAGGAGGAGGAGGTTGCAGTAAGCCAAGATCATGCCACTGCACTCCAGCCTGGGTGACAGAGCAAGACTCGGTCTCAAAATAAATAAATAAAACTCTGTTTCCCAATGCTGCTTTCCACAGAGCTGGAGGACAGGCTTTTGGTGTTGAGTGTCTCACATCCTTGTTTTTTGTTTTGTTTTGTTTTGTTTTTTTCCCCCTTTGCCATGAATATCCAGACAGGAATTTCTGATGACCTTTTGTGAGCTGAAAAGTGACTGAGGCATCTCAATCAACATAAAGGTTTATTTTGCCAAGGTTGAGGATGCTCCCGGGAAAGAGACCTAAGTCACGGTGGGACCATCAGATCCCGGACAACTCACTGCCTATCATGAGAACAGCATGGGGGCAACCGCCCCCACGACCCAACCACCTCCTACCAGGTCCCTCCCTTGCCATGTGGAGATTACAATTCCAGATGAGATTCAGGTGGGGACACAGAGCGAAGCCGTATCAGGAGAGAATGAGGCAAGTGGTCACATTCTTGTGAGACTCTGATGAGCACTTAGTGAATCTACATTTTACTTGTGAAAACAAAGGAGGGGGAAGTCAATTACACATTTGTCTCTTGCATGGTAAATCTATGTTTTACATAAAGTAAAGTAAGCCTGTGAAGTCCCAACTATCTCTTTGGGAACAAAAGAAAGGCAGTTTTTCTAAGTTTCACTTTCCCTTTGGCATAGTGAGTTTGGGGGTCCCAAGGATTTATTTTCCTTTCCCACTCTATTATAGAGAATTCCTTAGGGACTATTTTGGGTTTGGGGAGTTTTGTTTTGTTTGGAGACAGAGTCTTGCTCTGTCACCCAGGCTGGAGTGCAGTGGTGCGATCCGGCTCACTGAAACCTCCATCTCCTGAGTTCAAGCAATTCTTCTGCCTCAGCCTCCCAAGTAGCTGAGAGTACAGACATGTGCCACCCCCAGCTAATTTTTGTATTTTTAGTAGAGACAGAGTTTCACCATGTTGGCCAGGCTGGTCTCCAACTCCTGACTTCAGGTGATCTGCCCGCCTCAGCCTCCCAAAGTGCTGGGATTACAGGCCTAAGCCACTGTACCCAGTCCCCTAGAACATAATTTGAATTGGTAAATGCTGGATTAGTGAAAACTAAAGATCGACCTGCTATTTACGTCCCTAACATAACAGCCCTTAATAGGCAACCATTTTTCATAAGTCTTGTTTCAGACATCCCAGACTCCATTCCCCAGAGAAGTAGAGAATGAATGGGTGCTGTATGTTCACTGCGGGTGTCCGAGAAGGTGCACAGGAATTGTCTTAACGTGAAGAGGGTCCACACTGGACACCGGCGCAAAGGGCAGAGTGAAGGCATGAAGCGTCAGATGCGTCTCTGTTTGCCACCAGCACACGTTTCAGCTGTGCTAGATTTGACTAGGCGCAGGACTCTGAACTAGTGGTTTGGTGACTATTACCCTCCACGGTATTGCTATCACATGCTCCCTGACCCCCTTCCTAATACTGCTGTGGTTCAGCAGCTCCAGTCCGCTGTTGAAATGCTGGTTGTATTCAAAACTCCATTGGGACATATTAAATTCTGGTGAGCCAGTGGGTGGGATACCTTCTGAATGACAAAGGGGCCCCGTGGCTAAAAGCTGAAGGAAATCTGTGCAATGATGAATGTGCTGCAATAAATCACCAGAGATCTGTTCTTTTCTTTATATGCATAGTACAGCGCAGGGGCCAGGGCCGGGAGAGTCTCTGAGCCCAGACCTTCATAGAATTAAAAATAATGAACGTTTTTAATCAGGCATGACTTGACCAACAACTCCGCCTCCATAGTTGGAAATACAGACGTCCACTTTTCGCTGGCGTGTAATTATTTTCTGGAATGCTGAGAATTGTTCCCTGACCTATGGCTCCTTTTTAAGCATCTGGGATATGCAGTCTTTTTGCAGGTTGCTATTTTGAAGTGAGGGAGTCTCAGGGAATTGAATATATGCCGCATAAGTTCCTACAAGATGGACTTTCTGGGAGTCCTCTGATGAGGTTGGGAGAAGGCAAAGAGAAGTTGCTGTGTAAAGGCTGAGCAAGCTCCAGGCCACTGCCGAACTTCAGCTTTCTTCAGCTCTGTCAGCTGGACCCTGTGGCTGGAGTCTGGCCAGCTGCAGTGACAAGTTTCTATTATTATGTAAATGGAGCCCCAGTGCAGCCCTGGAAGAGTTTTTGGCACAGGGTAACCCTTTGTCTACCAAAGGGTAGCCTCTCCCTTTGCTTCAAGCCCAGAGTGTGCATTTTGCAGTGGTGACCTGTAAGCCACCAGTCAACCTGCAGATTGCCTTATTAGGCAGACTGTGGAGAATGGCGGCTGGGGACTGGCTGGCAGAGGCGGTGGCAGTGAGCTTGTGTCCTGTACGAAGCCGGAGAACCCGAGCCCTTGGGACGTGGCCTAGTACTGTTCTATTAATGACAGTGCTCTGCGATGACAGGAATATGCCCTCTCCTTGGCAGGCACACTTTATGGGTTGGTTGGAAAACAGGAGGTTTATAGGAGGAGGTGACTGCCCGAAGGACAGAATGGTATGGGGCTTTC